CAGTGTACTACGAACTGGTTTGGCTAGTACCTGCTTGTTGCTAGGCCGATTTCGTCTAGAAATATCCACTGCACTAACAACTTGAATGAAGTATAAAACTTTGATGTATTTTTAGAATGATTGTATCTTCCTTTGTGCTTAATATTTTGTCTGTATATAATTGAACAGATAAATTTAAATTTCTTTTAAAAAAGCACGTTATCCCACATTAGTATTTTTTCCGATGTCGTAGGTGTCTTTACAAACATACGATTTCACATACACAACACATCCAGACCTGGAACAACTACTTGTGGATCACACGAAGAGTAGTTCTTGGCGGGAATCGAACAACCAGTTGCCCAGCCACCGTGCCAACCGTGCAGTCTATCAGTTTAAAGAAAATTTGAATAGACTGTGTGAAGATACGAAAGACAAAAAAGTTTCTGCTAGGTTGATGTTTGACGGGGAATAATGGAAGTAGAAGAATTTATTTTTTTCCTTTTTTTTCTTGTGTGATGGATGTCCTAATGGGCTTTCCTCGCCATATTGGCGACGGGGTCTGGTTTGCAAGACTTCTACGAGCTAAAACTATGATGGCGTTGCCTCTTATGCCTATGGTCGTACCTACTTGCGGTTATACCACAGCATCAACCGAAAGTAGCTTGGGATTAGACCAAAATGGAAAAAGAAGAAGCACTAATTAGTATCTGTCTGACTGTAAGTGAACAGTTTTCTTACTCAGACTTAATTATCCTTTCCGAATAAAAAACTCCGTATATAATTCTTCATAGCATTGAAGAAAGAAAGTAAGAAAGAAAGAAAGAAAATACATTTATTCAGCACCAGGCACGATGCAACATAATTAAATAAAATATAAAAAAGACAAATCAATTATTGCCGAATTCTTATTCGGACTGGCAATTAATTTTCAATTCAAACAAGTACCCCGCATTTCATTTTCTTTTCCGAGGTCTGGTTCTCTTGGGTACATGAAATTATGTGTTTATAACCGCACCCACAAACAGTAAAGAGTTTTAGAACTAGGTATGTCCAAAGTTGCGAAAAATTATCAGTGCTGTGAAAAAAAAAATAGTAAAATTTAAAAAACTTGAAAAGGTATAAAACTTAACTCAAACTTTTTAGTAACTTAAAAGTTTAATAATTTAACCCGTAAGTTAAGTTTAAAAGCACGTGACCAAAAGCTCAGCGTAGTTATCGGACAGCGCTCGGACTTTGAACTCGGTTTTGACACGAGTTATCGATAAATTATATCGATATCGATTGCTGTGAATCTTTTAATCTGTCCTTTTTAATTTTGATAACGTTTATAATAAGTAATTAATTCATTTTGACCTTGAACCTAGGTCATAAGATATTATTTATGTTGACAGTAATTTAGATAATTATCATGATGCACAATTTACGCTGTTGAAAATGAATTGTGTCGATTATTTTGTGATTCAAAAATTCTATTACAGTTAGCACAGCATTTTACCAGATATAATATACATATAATGACTATATATCTAGTATGAAACAAAGTCGCTTTCCGCCATCTGCCCCTATGTATGTTTGATCTTGAAAACTACGTGACAGATTTTGAATAGATATTTTTTAATAGATAGAATGATTATTATAATTTATTAAGGTTTGTTGTTGAAGTCGCAGGCAGAAATGAATTTTGGTACAAAATACTCATTTCGTGTTATTATGATAATGTTTTTTTTTTAATAATCAGTCGGTCTTTGCTTGCATCAATATATTTTAATCACACGAAGTCTTATTATTTCATCAAGTATGAAACTACGCTAATTGGTGTAATGCCGCATAATTGAATTCCAATCATATTCTTTTGGAATATGAATGAAAATTCAATTAAAATGCATGACAGTATACATAGACAGTAGCTGCATGTGCAGACATTGTACATCTAAATAGATTATCAACTTAACTAAAGCTAAAGCTCTAAAGTAATTGAAAACGATCCTTATCCAAAACGCATTAAGATCTTAAATTGCCTAATGTCTTTCTGAAAGTAATCACATTAGCTAGATCAAGCGTTTACCGGCTCAATCAAACTTGACGTCGTACTATAGGGAAATCAGGGGACTTGATTATGAATGGTACAATTTAAAAGCGATAGCTGTTTGCAAAGTTTGCGGCAAACCAGTATTCACTGGAATTTTCCGACCCTCTGTTCTTTTTATTGTACATTAACGACCTGCCGCAAGCGATCAATGAAGAATGTGTTCTATTTGCTGACGACACAACACTGATAATTAAAAGCAAAGATAATGACGACTTAGAGAAACAAATTGTTAAAGCACTAGATAAGGCGACTAAATGGTTAGAGGAAAATAACTTGAAAATAAATATGACAAAAACTAATGTAATAAAATTTAAAGCACATCACACAAACACACATTTACTTAATATTCAATTTAAACATTTCACCATAAACACGGTCAATGAATGTGTATTCTTAGGTATAACTGTAGACAAACATTGCAACTGGAAACCTCACATAGACAACATACGAAAAAAACTGGATCGATTTGTGTATGTCTTAAGACGTATGAGACAAACAATAAATCTAAGGACTGCTATAGTTGCTTATCATGCATATGTAGCATCGGTTATTAGATACGGGATTGTAATTTGGGGAAACTCGGTCGAAGTTGAAACAGCATTTAAAGCCCAAAAAAAATGTATCCGGGCAATGTGTGGAGCCCACTTTTTAGACAGTTGTAAACCGTTGTTTCAAAATCTTAATATTTTATCCTTACCTTGTCTTTATATTTTTGAAACATGCATGTTTGTAAAAAGGAATTATAATTTATTTGAAGAAAACTGTTATAAACCAAATAGTAGAACAAGACATAAAGATAGATTGAAATTACCCCAAATAAAATTAATGTTATTTAAGAGAAATGTTTACTGCATGGCTATTATCATCTATAATAATTTACCAAACAAATTTCAAGATTTGCCTGTCCTGATATTCAAGAAGTTATTGTTTAAACGCCTAGTAGAAAAACAATATTACAGTGTTAGAGAATACTTAGAGGATAAGTCATGGAAACAAATTATAAAGTAACTCGACTTTTTTATAAATTAAGGTGTGGAGGTACATACTTGACTTTTTTATGAATTGTACTTATAATTTGACATTTTATGATTATATTCTTATGACTATTGTATTGTATCTAATAATTAAATTCCTTGACATCTTACATTGTGACTAATGAACGAACTACCTACTTAATTACTTTTGACTTTTATCTATCGACATTTATAAAGTCTATGTTATTTTATATTGTAACGAAGGTGGTCCAGATATTTAATAAACTGTATAGTACTATTTAAAAACAATGTCAACTATGAAATTCTATGCTATTACTATTATTTCTACACCGGTGACGGTTGTGTATGTGAAACTGCTGTATTTTAAGATCTGTATGCACCATATACTGAGAAATAAACGATATTATTATTATTTATTATTAATTGCTTTGTGTTAAGATTTAAAATATGATAACCTGGGATTGTTTGATTAGCTGGTATATTTATATTGTCATAGATCTATGTCAACAGAATCCAGTCATCCAAGACTGAACCTGATCATAATATGAATGAATGTGAAATAGATAAGTAAACTCAAAATAAGCTTATTAGCGACAGGATTTAGTTTTAATATTTTTTTAAGTAAAATGCGTTGACCCAAAACTGAATACACCTGTTTTTATAATTATAGTTAAAGTCTCGAAATGACACAATCAAACATTTAAATTTAAAACATTAAGACACCAGATAGATGGATGGATGATCGAGTTTACCGGAGGACCAATCCTTCCCCAATCCCTAAATCACCAAATCCCTAATCCGCAAAAGGTTAGCAACGCACTCGAAACTCATCTATTGTTGCGGATGTCCATGGACGGTGCTGATTGCTTACCATCAGGTAATTCGTATGCTCGTTTGCTATCATATCACTTAAAAAAAGCAGGTTCCAGTTTGCTGAACCTTTTACATAAGATCAATCTTCTCCCCAATATATAAAGTAAGGGGAGACCCTCAACACTATATAATTACCTCCGACCTCCTCCTAGTTATAAGACCCGCTTTATATCTTGTTAAACCTGAACATAACTGCTGTTTGATGGACTAGTTATGTTAATAGAAAAGTTAGTAACTATATGCGGGTTAAGGATTTCAGTATAACAAATAATTATTTCAGATTTTTTTTCAGAAATATAGGTGTAACTAATTTTAAAACTCTCGTTTATTTATATTTTTTTTTTTATGTAATAAGTCGGCAAACTAGCGGACGGATTACCTGATAGTAAGCAATCAACGCCGCCCATGGACACCCGCAACGGAGGAGTTACGAGTGCGTTGCCGACCTAGATTTAGGGATTGGGGAAGGATCCGGGAAGGGGAAGGATTGGGCCTCCGGTAACCTCACTCACACGGCGAAACACAACGCTGTGGTTGTTTCTCGCCGGTTTTCTGTGAGGCCGTGGTATCACTCCGGTCGAGCCGACCCATTCGTGCCGAAGCATGGCTCTCCCACACTTGTATAATAATTATTTTTACAGCACAGAAACTAGCCGGGCTCGCGGGTTAAGCGCAATAAGGTGCCGCGGTCTGGCCTGGACCAGGAAAAGGAACGGGGTGGTTTTTAGTCAGTAAGAGAAGAGTCTGAAACTCCCTCTCTCTCGCCTCGCCCTGGTCGAGAGAAATCATATAGGTAATGATTTTCCCCTCACAAAAAGCAAAACGCAGTTCCTTACACCTCTGGCAAGAAACTCAATTTGCTTAATAACTTATTGAGTTATTATTTTTTTTAATATATATTTTTTAATTTCTTATCATGCATAACGATTCCACATTCTATCGAATGCGTTTATCTTCATCTTATATCTACAATATGACAAATAATACATACCTAATAATAGTCCCATCCTCATATAAGAACAGTGAAATACATAGAAGATAAATATAAATATCGATAAATTGTCGTATCAGCGTTTCCCACCACTATCGCCCGTTCGCTGCACCGCTAGACCTAACTAGCAACTACGCGCGTCGTCAGCGTCAGTTATATGTCGTACCGTCACCGCACCAGTCGCGTCGCAATCGTAGTCGCCCGCCGCAATTGTACGCAGTTGCAAATTATATCGTGGATTCAAAGTGTTCTCTTTTTGAAATAAAATTTGATTTTTTTTACGTTCCAAGTGCAGTGTCTGTAATACTGGTAGGTTCAATTTTTTTTTTGTTTTGTTTTCGTATTTTTTTTTTAGTTGTTTTTGTTTTTTTTTCTGGAAGTGTTTTTGTGGGTTTTGTTCTGTCGTTGTGACGTCCCGATGACTTGTAAGTCTTGTGTGTTATTGACTGTGAATTAATTCTATTTTGCTTTCATTTGGATAGTATAAATGTAAGAAAATTACAAGTCATAATTTACTTAAAAGCTTATACATCTTCTTATCAATGAAGATCATATTTTACTCGTAATATTCATGACAATAAAATTATCCGTATTCATTACTTATAAAACTTAATAACTACATATCCTAAAAACGAATAATTTGGAACATTTATTGTGTAAACTCAATCCAAATGTGTTTTTCATCTTTTATTTAAACACATTATGAAAAGTTATTTTGTAAATCGATCTCTTTACAATGTTAAAAGCCACTTTCGTTTAGCAAAAACATTTATGTAAGCCAGTTGCAATCTTGAGGAGAGTTCTAGACTCTTAAACTTCAAAGTTAACTGTGCTTAGCATACTGAATAAGCAGGTAGATCTGCTTATCCTATAATTTCTAGAAATAATTTATCTTAAACAACCATTCTAATACATATGAATTACAATATAATACACTGTACGGTTTAAAAATTGTCTTTTTGTCGTATGAAAAAGAAATCCATGCTTTTTCCATTTCCAAACTTCGAACCCCCCAAAATCGACTCCTCCTGTGTTTCTCACGTCCATAGGCGACGCAGATTGCTTACCATCAGGTAATCCGTCTGTGCGTTTCCCATAAAAAATGTATGAGTTATAAAGAATGTGTCTGCTTTATGATGAAAATAAAATGAATTACTCGTATTCACTGTATGTATAATAAGCCTATGTACTTTTATGTACTATAAACTATACGAACTTATACATTTTTTTAAATGCTTGGTTATCTACTGAATGTTATGGGGTACTTAACAAACTTATTTATTATATATCCATTAATTAATGTATTTACTAATACGAGTGGTTTTCCACTTGGAATTATATTCAAGTGAATATATAGCTATAAGCAATTTCAGTTGTATTCCAATATTAGTAAAATTTTTCTCTTTTGTAGTTGGTTAGACATGATGCTACTAAGTTTCAAAATTATTTTTCTAAAATTAACATCGTTGTGATTAATTTTTCGTCTCTTGACCCAGTAGAAGAGGTCAATCTTTTATATTAAAATAATTTATATATTTAAATAAAATTATGGAAATATGTTTATAATTAGTTGAATACATATTCTCTGAACTTTCTTTCTAGTTTTGATTGTAATGTATCAGTCTACATCACATTTCGATTTCGCCATCACAGTTTCGTTGTTTCGAAACTTAACGATTTATTAGTTCATATCCGTTATATTTTAAAGAAAGTAACTCAGAAGTATATTATTTTTCTTTTCTTCTTATATTATTATTGTTATTTAGAATGATGAAACACGAATACATTATTATATTATTAAATAATGTCACAGATTCTTAATTAAACTAGCCCGATCACATGATGGTAAGCACTTGACGCAGCTCATGGACACTCATAGCACCAAGGGATTCGTCCTCCTTTTGCAAGTTCTTAGGGATTTAAAGATTTGGGGATCGAAGATGGGGATACAAGGATTGGAGGCTTAGAGATCTTTAAGTTTGAATTATCAGCTACAAGAATTTATGTATACTTACTGTATAAATACTGTAGAACAGTTTATTTATATTGTATAATAATGTAATGTGAAACAAATTGGCTACCTATTATGAATACCTATATGACATAGGTACTAGACGTGTCAAAATTGAAATATTGTCAGTTGACAACTTAAACCATTTTACCACATTTGTAGGTCCTATATATAACGTTTTATGTTCAAATTTATCTTGTGCATAGCAGCTTACAGTCTTTCTGTCACAGACCCTCAATATTTAACAATCACATCTTTTAGTTTTAACTCTGAAAAGTCTAGGCATGGGACATTTTGTTGATCTACCAATTCACTTTACGTTAGTTAGTTAAGACTTCTATGTAATAAGAGGCGAGGTCCCATCATCATCATCAGCCTATAAGTGCCCACTGCTGAGTAAAGGCCTCAAAACAAAGAAAGCTTGAGCAGCGAGGTCTAGGATATTACTATTTAATAAACACCATATTCCTTTTTTTCTTTTTCTTTTAATAAAATAAAGTTCACTAACACCAAGTTGAACTCACAAAAACATTACAAGAGAAACAACATCAGCTCGCCAGTGAGTTGACTGCCCTTTTACTATCAGTTATAAGCAAGCAACATGCATGCAGGTCTAGTTACACTACACAATTATGTGACAAACTAACATACAAAGTTGACGAACAAAGAACAAACATTCCTATGCATATGTTTGTATGTAGGTACATATAGCAAAAGGTCAAATTGAATGTATGTTATCAAAACTGAACTATATTTCTGTAAAGAGAAAGTTTAACATTCTTTGAAATGTGTGATTCTAACTAACGGACTGTCCCACCTAGCCATCCTTTTCCGGATTTTTTATAGCATTATTAGTATTTTTTCATTTATGCCTTAATTAGACAAGAAAATGTAATACAATTTGGTTTAGCCGTTTTTCAGATTTGCACTTTGCAACAATAATTAATATAGAATTTAAACTTCGAATTACTTATTTATCAATAATAATTAGTATTCTAATTACAATATTTCGATACTAAAAAAATAATGCGATCTTTTAACTCTTGGATTGTCTCGGGGTCATATTATCATTGACATAACTAGAAATTTAGAACACGTCTGAAACATATGATTAACATAAAACGCAGTTAGTTTTTAAACTAAATTATAGATAAACAATAGAAAAGTATTACATACGACATGATAATCGCAATGAACTTAATATACAGCGAAAATATTCTATGAAATTTCACAATATCTTATTTACTTTTAAACCTATATACATATATTATGTAATTTAGGTACGAATTTACCGAATTGTACGAATTTAAGTACGAATGTATAAGTATGTATTTAAAAACATTCACTACTGAATGTCGATTCTGTTTATATAGCTGCTGTTGCCCTAGACTTGATCCGAGACAAAGTCAGTTAAAGACTACTCCCACCCTGAGTCAAAGGGAGTCTCAGACTCTTACTGACTAAAAACCATCCAGTGACTTATCCTGCTTTGATCCAGGCTGCAGTTGCACTTGCGTGGGGGCAAGTGCAACTGCGATCATATACTATATATAAGTATTTTTATTAGGATGAGAAATTCACCGAATTTTCTTCTCTCATCCAGGGTGAGGTGAAAGGGAGTACCAGATTCTTACCGACTACAAACCCCCCGTTCTTTCTCCAGCTCCAGGCCGACTACATATATTATAAGGCTATATGTTAAAATAGACAAGCAGAACATTGACGAAAATTACATCTAATTCTACTCCGCAGTTTTTGCGCAATGCGCTTATAAACACACCGACATACTATAGAAAACATTTCAATAACGGTTTTAGCCTATATTTAGTCCTACACATAGAAAAACATTTCAAAAATGAATTAGACTGTTGTCCTAAATTAAAAAACTAAATATAAGTTTTTTATTTACAATTATAATGTACAGATATATAACTTGTTATAATGTAATAGATTTAATAAGTACCTATATACGATAAGCATAAATACATAAATTGAATATCCCACTAAGTAATTACTATCATAATAGCGTGTCTGGTGTTGACCTAATTCAAATTAAAAATGTGATAAATTTACAAGTGACTCTGTCATTTTATTATTTGTTTTTAATGAGATAAGGTAGTGAGTGTTTAAGAGTGAAATTGTTGAAAATCCTTGCATCATCACCTACCAATGTTTGTTTATATGATTATTTTATTACTTGAGGTCACTGACCTCACCTGAATCTCAAGATTGTGACATACTTTGTTTAAGATTTGCAAATGGGTCACCCAACACTTAATAATACAATGAACAAATATACAATTTACGTCCTACTAAAGTTATAGTAGACTAGCTATTCTCGCGCGGTTTCACCTGCTGCTCGGCTCCATTTAATCTTAGCGGGATGCTTTATAGCCTATAGCATTCAGGAACATTGTAGCTATCTATCAGTGAAAGAATTTTGGCAATCCGACTAGCGGTTCCAAAGATTACCTCCTACATACAAACTTACAAATTTTACCGCTTTATAAAATTAGTATAGATATCTTTTTAGCCATCTTGTTAGCACATTTAACAAATAATATCGCAGTAAAGTTTAAATCCCATTAATAATGTTTCCCTACATTGCCGAAGAATAAAACCTCTTTGTGTACAATACGTATATGATTGGCAAGATGGATCGCCTGATGGTAAGCAATCAGTAGCGATTTGGCTTTTAAATCAACTACAACAACAGTCAGTCAGTCAGACAGTAGGTCAGTAACGGAAGACTTTTAACATTGATGCAAGTTGTATGATAAAATATTGTATGCATTATCAGATACGACTTAATCTTAACTTGAAAATGCAATTCCTATTTTAGATGCACTTAGGCTTTTGATGTTTATAAAAATGAACCCTGTTCGGAATTCGTATGATGCACACATGTATTAATATATGTAGTTTTTTTTATTTAAATATTCATATTATCATCATCATCATCAGCCTACTGCCACCACAGCCACTACTGAGCAAAAGGCCTCTTTTCATACGAAGAAGGTTAGAGCATTAATCACCACGCTTGCTCAATGCGGGTTGGCGATTTCAAACTTATAATTAGAAATTATAAGTGCAGGTTTCCTCACGATGTTTACCTTCATAATATACAGAATTCAATAAATAGAATAATTAGAAGCTTGGATCAGTACTTAACCGAAAAAACTAATTATATTAATATACCGAATATTACCTAAGTTAAATATAGTTACTACTTTTTTTTAATATGCATTGTATTCTATTAAGCGAGGTTACATCTTCTGTCATCAGTGGATCAATCATT